CCGAAAACCCCGGGCCTAGGCTAGTCCGGTAGACGCGGTCCGGGTGACAACGCCGTCGGCCCGAGGGGAGGCTTGAATGGCCAGGCCAACGGCAGAACCAGGAGCTCGCCGCCAAAGGTCGGCCAAGACCGTGCGCCCACCGGGAGCCGGCCTCTGAGCGCGGCGCGCGGGCCAGACGGAACAAGGGACCTGCTAGCGACCAGAGCACGGAGATTTCGAAAAATCCCGACCTAGAGAAAAAGAAAATTTCTTCGCTCGCAGACCTAAAGCCGGAGAGCCCGAGCGGAAGACTTGGGCGAGACTGGCGGGGAGCCGGCCCTGGCGTCTAAAGGTTCCCTTCGCTGGCCCGCCGCAGCGCCGGTGTTTCAGTTCATTCTCTCATTGAGTAGCTCCCCCTGACAGCCCGCCCCCACCCCAAGAAAGCGGGGGAGTGGGTCCCGGCGTCACCTCGCACAGAGAAGCCCGGCAGCCCCACCGCAGCGCAGGGCACTTGGGGTCCGGTTTCCGGCAGGAGGGCAGCGGCGCCCGACGCCGGGCAGTGTGCGGACTTNCTTTGTTCCGGGCGCGCGGAGGGAAGGCGAGGCCGCGGCGGATCATGCCCATGGTGTAGCGGCGACGCGGAGGCATGGCTGCCGGAAGGTTACTGCTCTACACGGGCCTCTCGCTAGCGCTCTGCGCCCTCGGCATGCTGGCCGTGGCCATCTGCTCGGACCACTGGTACGAGACGGACGCCAGGAAGCACCGGGACAGGTGCAAGGCCTTCAACACCCGCCGGATCGACCCGGGCTTCATTTACNAACTTGCCGCTGCGCGCGAGCCGCTCGCGCCTGGACCGCTGGGAGGGCAAACTCCTGCGGGCCCGGAATCGCAGGCAGCTCTTCGCCATGAGCCCCGTGGACGAGTGCAGCCGGCAGTACAACTCCACCAACATGGGCCTCTGGAGGAAGTGCCACCGGCAGGGCTTCGACCCCGAGATCGCGGCGCTCATTCGGAAAGGTAAGCGCGAGCCGCGGG